ATGGGAGTGGGCTTAGGATAGAAGTTAGGATGTCTGGAAGAGACTTGGAGAGTACAAATAATGAAGAAAATTGTCAGAAATATTACACAATTGTGTTTGGAGATTTCAAAGGAAAAGCAGGAGATGTCAAAGGAGAAGAAGGAGAAAGAAAATGGAGCGAATTGGGGAGTAGATGTGCTTAGAAGGATTTTTACACTACAGCCTGAAGAATCACATGACTTCCTGCTTTAAGTGTCTTCATTTGTTTTCATGTTTTTTTTTAGAAGGGGGTGTTTCCTGTTTAAAGTTTGATATTCATTTCAGCTTTGGTAGAATTTAGAAAACAGAAAAAAATTTCAAAACATATTTTTGGACAAGAATGGCTAGCATTGCTTCCTATTCTGGTTGAAAGTCACATTTACTTTACATCATACAGGCAGTGTCTCAAGGTGCCTAGAGAGCTATCAGGAAAGAATTTGTCTTCTAGTCCCACCACTGGCTGGCTGTGTGACTCTGGACAAATCACTTAATTGAGAAATCTCTATAACATACCTGATGAAATTATAATGATGATACCTACATGAAAACATCATGGGAGACACTGTGAAGTGGTGAAACTAATTTTTTGGAATTTTTAGAATGTTAGAGCTGTCTTTAAGAATCATTTGACCCACCCCCCCTCATTTTACCTGTATGGAAGAGATCCAGAGGTGTCAAGGGACCTGCCTGATGTCACATAACAAGGCAATGATAGAACTGAGACTAGAACTCATATTTACTGCACCATTCACTACACTATGTCATTCTCTGAAATGGATACATTATTCCTATAGCAGGCTCCTGATCTACTACTCTTTTGACCCTATTTTAAAAAAAAAAGGAAATAAGATTGGCACAGTATGACTTTTTGGTAAACCCATGTTCCTTCCTGCTACCTAATAATCTCTGCACTTTCCTTTCTAAATAATCACATATCACCTTTTAATAACATGCTTTTGGATTTTTGCAGGGGTTCGTGTCATACTCATTGAGAGGTAGATTTAAGAAACTAATAAAATTATATATGGAATTGACTTTAGGTTATTAAAATTCCTTTCTTGAGCTTGTATTCTTTCTTCCCCGAAGGTCAGAATGATTGTAGATATATCTTCTACTAGTTCTCAGTTCTGTTATGATTTATTTTTTTTCTCTTGTGACTCTGATCGTAGAACTTTGTTCAAAGGGAGAAAATTGGAGGTTATGTAGAGAATTTTTTTTTAAAGAAAGGATGTATTTGCAACAGCAAATGGAAGAGAGTTGCCAGTTTTGACATGTGAATTGGGGATATTAACATTTCCCTCAACCAAATCTGTGGCAGTAACTTGTCAGAAGCTCAAGGATTAATTTTATTTATCTAATCCTTTGAGAGTTAATTCTTATTTTATTTAGTCGAAGTGGATGATCGAGAAGTAAAAGGTTTGGACTTGGGCATTGTTGTATTTGTTTTGTAGGTATTTGTCAGGTATGATGCTTTTAAAGTGCTCTTGTTTTAATCTAAGGTTTGGTGTTTCATTTTAGAGATGTCTAATATTTCTCAGTGGATTCCACAGGCACTTTAATATAATATATACATACATACATATTTATGTATGTCTGCATCTGAATGATGAATGACTGACCATAACAATCTTCTTTAGATGGTACTATAAGACTTCAAGGTTATCTTAATTGTTTTAATTTGTTACGGCCAGAAGGTATTTGCATGGTTTTGAAAACAATGAAAGCCAAAAAGGGTTGTAAAATGTCTGTCATAAAAATCTCAATTGTACTATTTTACTACAACTTTGCATTCAATTTCCATTGTGTGTCATTTCATGATTTCAATCTTTTAAGTAAGCTGAGATGGTCTTCTACTCTTAGAAAATGGATAGATGCTAATTGAGCTAATTTACTGGATCTTAAGAGAATAATAGCTAGCATTTATGTAGTTCCTTAAGGTTTGCAAAACTCTTTACATATGTTATTTTATGTGATCCTTGCAACGTCCCTGAGAGAAACACCTACAGGCATCTGACATCTGCTCTTATATTTTTTAAATAGACCATTACATCTGAAAGACTCTTTTTAGTATGATTATGATAATATTTATAGAATATTTTTTCACATAGAATAGGCAAGGAAAATCTTATAAATGTGAATGTGTGAAATTGTGTAATATTTTTCAGTGTGAAGTTTTTAAAATATATTTTGTTCAAATGTTTACTGATATCAGAATTGGAAGTATTTGGAGCTTAACAGACTGTATAAAAACTAGTAAGAAAATGAACCAAGAAATGCTAGTTTATTTTTCTGATTTCAAAAGCTTTATTTTTCTCTTCCATGTATATGAATTGTCAGGGTGGCATTTTAAAAAGGTAGAATGAAACCTCACTAATTCAGATTAATTGGTAAAATTCTGTGAAGAAATGGATATATAAGAATGTTTTGTAATTAGGTAATTAAATGTTATAGGTAAATGAATACTTTTAAGTGTTTGAAGGAGTGGGGAATCTTCTCTGCAAGTTTTAAAATCTCCCAGAAATCTTGTTTCTACTCTGTTTGTTTAGCCATCCCTTTCTTGGTTATTAGTCTGAAAGTAAACTTCAGTCTGTACAATACCACAAATTCTAGGTAGGTGGAATCCAAATTAATGTGGATTTTGCTGTGGTTGTATCACTTGCTTGTTACTGAATCAAATGGAGTAGAGGAAATTATTATGTAACTAACTGAAAGACAGAGCTCCTCTTTATTCCAAAGGTTTCTTCCTCATTTTGGCTTTAGCCATTTCCATGACACTGTTACTTAATATGTGATACATTATGCCTTCTAGAATGGTCTGCACATAATAAAATAGTATGCAAAATGTTATCGCTTTATATGTAAACCTCAGCATGTTTAAAATTAGCAGATGCTAGCTTTGATTAAACCATAATTTTTTTAAAGGCAAGAGCAGATGATTTATGAGTATTGTTTTAAAAAATAGAAATTGTATTACTATTTTAGGATTGCATTTTAAAAATTATAAATTTGGTAAAAACCAAATTCGCAGATGTGTGTATAATCTAACCAAGGTGGCCTTAAATCCCCAGTCAGGGGGTGATAGGCATCAAAGTTCCTGTTTTAATATGTTATCAGGGAGAGCATGTGGTATGCATTTTGTTTGACATTTCTGATGATAGTTTCTCCAATGCCTGAACCCACCCCAAACAGTTTTGAAGCTTGTAATCTTGTAATGGTAAAGCAAGGTATATGCTCCCTACCTGTGCTGAATGGATAACTGAAGAAGGGAAGCCACTTGAGAAGCGAGGGAGGAAAAGTCCCCACTCTTTCCCAGCTTGGTGCTGCAGAGTTGTATTTTATCTGCTTTTTAAAAAAAAATTATAGAATACTCTATAAATATAAGCTATTATTAGTGTTATTCTTATTATTTGAGGCTATTTTGCCCACAAAGCATAACCCCTCATCCTACTGGAAAAAAAGAAAAAAATTATGAACAGACTATGTAAAAACTATTAAGAAAATGCATCAAGAAATGCCAGTTTTTTTTCTGATTTTAAAAGCTTTATTTTTCTCCACCATGTATGTGAATTGTCAAGGTGGCATTTTGTTTTTAGGCAATTGTGGTTAAGTGACTTGCCCAGGGTCACACAGCTAGTAGGTGCCAAGTGTTTAGTCTGAGGCCAGATTTGAACTCAGATCCTCCTGACTTCAGGGCCAGTGCTCTATCACCGTGCCATCTACCTGTCCCTCAAGGTAGCATTTTAAAAAGGTGGAATGAAACCTCATTAAATCAGACTAATTGGTAAGGCCAGCCTGAGTTAAAGAGTTCAAGGAAGTATGAATGGATAATATGACTGTGTGTGTGTGTGTGTGTGTGTGTGTGTGTGTGTGTGTGTGTGTGTGTGAGAGAGAGAGAGTATATGTGTATGTGATATATGTATATATATACATACATGAATATATAACATGTATGTATATGTGATATATAAAATAGATACATATTGCACACGCGCATGCGCACACACACACATACACACACACACACGATAGACAAATGAAGTTGGAGCCCTTTACAGATATCCCAAACTATAGTATGTGTATTCTAGACACTTTTGAACACACTGATCCTGAGCAGGTCAGATAAGGATAAACAAATGGGTGGATAGAATTCCTTTGGTATAAAGGGCTGCACTTGAGGAACTCATTAGTAGCTGTTTCTGTCCACAAGTTCCCCTCTTGCTGGGAAAAGGATCCAAGTCTAAGTAGTTGTATCCATTATTGTTATTATCGTTGTTGTTAAGTTGCACATTGACCAATATATATAGACCAGTATTACTGCCCTTCTTTCTTACTTGGCCCAAGTATGGGGAAACTATATATTAGTTGTTGGTGTGTTTTCTTACTTATTTTAAAAGTGCCCAATGACCTGTATTAGTTCAAATATATACAAGGGAATTATTGTAGATAGCAAAACCACAGGAAAAATGCTTCCTTTATAATTTGGACTGTGATATTTGTTGAATGAAGATGTTAATATATGTAAGACTAAAAACCAATAGAATATACAATACACATTTTTATCAAGAGTTCTTAATCTCGAAAATTTTTTAGTGTTTTTGTTGTTGTTCAGTTGTTTCAGTCACAACTAACTCACTAGGATTCCATTTGGGGTTTTCTTGACGAAAATACTGGAGTGGTTAGCCATTTCCTTCTCCAGCTCATTTTTATAGATGAGGAACTAAGGCAAACAGGGTTAAGTGACTTGCCCAAGGTCACACAGCTAGTAAGTATTTGAGGCCAGATTTCAACTCAGGAGAACGAGTCTTCCTGACTCAAGGCCCAGCACTCTATCCACTACATCACCCAGTAATTATTATACTGTGTAAGAAAAGTTAATAAAATTTATGATCTTTTGAAAAAATGAAAACACAAAGACTTAATCATATATTTCTATCTATCTATCCATCCATCCATCCATCTATCTGTCTACCGCTTAATTGTAGGGAACCATAAAGTTCAGCCTTGGACAGCAGTTACAAACCAAGCCTTAGATGTCGCATGGAGAACAGTAAAGGGACCAGTGATGTTGGGCATATCATTTCTTGCTGCTGCCCTCTGCCACTTAAGAAGCCTATATTTATATTTAGGACATCGGTTAAAATGGTATGTTCTTTTGCCATTTTCTGTATTTTTTTAAAAAAAGCCTCTTTTTGAAGCAGATACTTTTTTATAAATCACCATTTGACCCTACTGTATTTTTAACATTTCAGGTGGAGCGGATACCTGCAGAGAAAATTCAAAAGTAAATATTCTCTTTACAGTCTCTGTTGTTCCTGTCGTGGAAGGGAGTGGAGGGGGAAATTGAAGGAACAAGAAGAGGGAAATTAACAGCTTTTTATGTTCAATTTGGTCTAGAAAACCTCAGTGTGGAGGCAGAAGTTGATCTCCTTGGTTATTGTGCAAGAGAATGGAAAGGAGAAACAAGCCGAGCCAAGCTGATGAGGAAGGTATCACTATTTTTAAAAGCAGGGAAGAAACAAATTCCATCCAACTTTATTTAATGTCAGGGAGCCCAGTTAATTCCAAATTCCAAAGTACAAGTGACTGCTATTTTGTTGGTTAAAACTCCTTGAGTCTTACATTGTCAATTCAAAACTAACATACTCTATACTGCAGACACTATTTAGTGTGGTTGCTATTAAGAAGAACCCTTTTAAATTAGGTTTCATAATTCAGGAAATTTCAGTGTTACAAATGTTTGCTCAATTTGCTGTAATTCAGTGGACATTTATGAAATACCAACTAGGTACTGAGGACATAGAAACAAAACAAAACAGTCCCTGCCCTCTAGGAGATTACATTCTGGGGGTGATGGGGTGGAGAGTAGGTGTAATACACATGTAAGCAAAAAAGTACATACAAAGTAATTTCAGAAAAGAGAAAGCATTGGAAATGATCAGGAAAGATCTCATTTAGGTAGGAACATCCAAGTTGTACTTGGAAGAAAACCAGGGATTCTATAAGATGAAGAGGAAGTGCATCCCAGGCCTAGTGACTCTCTGGGCAAAGGTGGAAAGTCAGGAGAAGGAATGTTGTGATACAGAGAGAGATTAATGTTAAATATTTACTTAGTAACTATTATAACTCCCTTCCTTACTGCAGTAGACTATAAGGTTGTTGCAGAGAGATTCTACCATTTTTATCTTTCTATCTTCAACTTCTAGTATATGTACCTAATAGGTGCTGAACAAATGCTATTTGTATTGAATCTGATTAAATTTCTGACCCTTTGAACTGGGCCCCTTTCAGTTTTTTGGACGTGCTAAGGAATGTGTATGTAATGCTTAACACAAGGTCATTGTATACAAAGAATCTTAGCTGTTGGGTTTTTGTAAATGGAGCAAATTTCACACAACTTCTAAAACTAAGATGAGAAAAAAAGCTTTTTGTCTTCACTCTTTTAGAAAGTAAATCCTTTTAGTGTCTGATCTATTTGAAATATATAATGTGTAGTGACTATAGACCTTTGGTAAGAGAAATTGAGGTAATGGGGAATAAGGGTTCAAAGTGGTTACAATGGTGGCATATCACAGAACAGATTTTTCAATACATATAAAAGAATGAAGCACTGGGTATTTAGGCTAAAATTGGTCCTGTTGATTAACTAAGCCATTGAAAATATGTGTTTTGCTTTCAAAATGTGCATAATTATTAACCAAAAATGACCCTCTCCCTTCAAGTAGGCCAGAAAGTTCAGTGTAGCATTGACATCCATGCCAGTGAGGTCTCCTCACCTCCTGATCTATCTGGCAGTCATGCTAAACATTTTAGCAGGATTAACTAGATGTTGCAACAGCCCAGTAACATACAGAATATATGTAGTCCTTTTAGAGTAGGTGGGCATTCCTTGATCAGGGCAGGAAGAATGCTCTGAAGAGATTTTACATTCTGCTTTACACCTTTTCTTAACATCTTATTTTCTACCTCTCAAACTAATTTTCATTGTAATTGTTTTAAATTTTCTTTCTCATCACCAGGAATGATATCCCTCTGTGCATTGGGTCAAATCACTTGCATGTAACATTGGTATTTATGGTACTGTTTGCCTGGTTTTATTCTAAGCTTTTCCCTGATCACTTTTTGTGTTTGACATATAGGCAGCTGTACCTTGGTGGTCATTAAATATTTACTAAAAGTTCTCAGCATTACTTATAGACTGTACTTCATGGTCCCTGCTGTCTAGGTACTTGCTTTCTAGTATTGCATGATATGGAATCTGTGCAAACGGGCCTAGAGTCGAGGAGACTCGGCTTCCTGAATTCAAATCTGGCCTCAGATACTTACTAGCAGTGTGACCCTGGGCAAGTCACTTAACCATGTTTCCCTCAGTTTCCTCATCTATAAAATGAGCTGAAGAAGGAAAGGCAAACCACTCTAGTGTCTTTGCCAAGAAAACTCCAAAGGTCACAAAGAGTCAGACATGACTGAAAATAACTGAACAGCAACAACAAAAATAATATCCCTTCACATTGAAATAGGAAACAATACAAATGTGAAACAATAACTTTTTTAAAGTTTTTTAAGAAGTTTTTCCATTTGTATTTGAAGCTCTACAGTTAAATTTTATTTTATTTCCTTTCTTTAGACTCTTCCCCTTCAGAATTACAAAAATATATTTTTTCCCCTTTGCTCTAATAGGCTTATGAGGAACTCTTTTGGCGTCATCACATTAAATGTATCCGGCAAGTCAAAGGAGATAACTATGATGCATTAAGATCAGTCCTTTTTCAGATACTCAGCCAGGGCCTCTCTCTCCCATCCTGGATGAAAGAAAAAGACATTGTAAAGGTAGGATGTCATGTTTTAAGCCAGAAAATACTTCTAGTATAATCCTGTGTGAAGTGAAATACTGTAGCACAAACACCTTCATTTCAACTACCCACTTTTTTTGTGTTGTTTTTTTTTTAATGATCAGAGTCTGAAAGGAACCCTGAGAGATGTCACTTAATCCATCCCCTGGGCTCTTATGTAAAAGTGTATTCAAGCTATTCCAGAAAGATCTTGTTTAGATTCTTCCTCAAAATTCATAATAAGGTAGTTGATTCCCTTTATATATGATTCCCTTTATATATATTCTATTTCTCACAACCCCTCACAGTGAGAAAATTTTTCTTAAGGCATGATCTAAATTCTTCGTGAAAATCAATTTTTAAAAGTGTTCCTTTGTTTTAGTACCCATTTATTTTGTTGAACTAAAGCTAAGATATTTAAGGACAGAGAGGATGTGAGGAGAGTCATAGTGTATGATCAACATAATACCTTGTCTTTAAAATTACTCTATGTTTTAAAATTGCTTAGTTAAGATGAATCATTCCCCAAAACACATGCCTTTTGTTAAATATATTTTAATGAAATAGATTGGATCTGTTGACTGTACATTTTTGTTTGTTGTATTTGAACTGTCAGAACTTGTAAATTTTTTAAATAATATGCCTTGTGCAGAACTATAAAATACATGTTTTAATAATGTTCTACTTACATCCTTGGGTGATTGCCAGTTATTTAATTTGGCTAACTATGGGGGGGCACAGTCACATCTATTTTGTGTATCTATGTTGTATCATCTCTTATTTGTGATAAAATGCTAATTATTTCATAACATTTATACTTTTCCCCCCCAAGCTTCCTGAAAAGCTACTCTTTTCACAAGGTTGTAATTGGATTCAACAATACAGCTTTGGCCCTGAGAAATATACAGGCCCAAATGTGTTTGGGAAATTACGTAAATGTGTTGAATTATTAAAGAGTCAGGTAAGTACTTGGAAACAGACTAGAAAGATGAAAAAACATTCAGAAGTAGTAATCAGTCTCCCTTCTGTCATCACTTTCATTGTCTTGGTTCCTGATCTCAGGCATATTAGTTTGTGTTGCATTTAAAGGAGTAGAGAAGAAAGTGTTTTCTTCATCCATTATCTTCCTGTCTGGGTTTGCATCTCTTCCTCCTACCAAGTGGTGAATATCTGCAAGGTTTTTCTGCTTCCACAAAAGAAGGTGAACCATTCTCTTCCCTTCTGTGTAATGACAAGAGAGCAGCCTTCTGGTACTATTCCTGTATTTCCTCCCTTCCTTTCAGGTAGCTGAGAGAGAACAGCCCAGAGAGTCAGGGTTTTATCCCTTCTGGGAAGTCTTGAGAGTACAATGCAACTGATCTTCATTTTGGCCTAGTTCTGCTCCAATATGTAGGTGAAAAAAAATCTGTCTTACAGCCTTTTTTTCCTGTGCATGTGTGTGTGTGTATCTGTCTGTCTCTGAGAGTCTCTGTCTCTTTCTCTATCTCTGTCAGTCTCTTTATTTAGTCAGACACAGTTTGCCCAGTCTTGTTTATGGTGCCCTCCTTGCCCCTGTCTGTCTTGTCTCTGTCTCCCTCTCCCTTTTCTCCCCTCCTTACCTCTCCCTCTCCCTCAGCTTAAGACGGATTGCAAATAAATGTTTGTGAATTCCATCATGATCTTCTTTCTTTGGATTATCATCTGTCTCATAATTTTAGAATTATTATCAAGGATTTCATTTTTTATTATATGGGTTATTTTTGATAGATTTGTATGTTTGTTATTTAAAAATAAATCCCTGATTATACATATGCTTGATAGTTCAACTGATACTAAATTTGTATGTTCTCTACTGACTTGATCATTTCCCTCTATGACATATGTTCCTGTTAAGTTTCTCATGGCGAGGATGAAAGCAACAGACTAGGAAGAATTTCAGGTTGTTTGAACTTGGGAGGCTTTGTCTCTTATGTTGTAATAGACTGTGCCTGACTCAGGCTGGTCTCCTGGTAGTTTAGGTCCAAAATTGGAATGAAATGAGCCGCTCATAGTATATTTAACAGTAAACAAAAGGAGACTTATTTAGCCATGGCAGGGGAATGATGCTCAGGGCAAGGAAGAGATGTTCATCCAGGATAAAGCATAGATTGAGTTTTTCACAGCATCCCAGTCTTGTTCAGGCTTCTGGTCTGTGGTCTGAGAGAAGGGACCTCAGAGAGGGACACTAGCTCCATATGTCCTGGCTGTTTCATAACCAGGTGATTAGGAAGCTACAGCAGTACCCTAAGCCTTTATACCCTGAGCAAATCAAATCTCCGGGACAGTTTCAATAGCTTTTAAAGAAAAACTAGCTTAACTTACATGGAGGTGGGGCAGTATAATTAACTGTGCCCCAGATTGGGAGCTATTGTCTGGCAAAGGACATTCCTTTTCTGAAACCTCAATTAACTTGACATTGGGACAATCCCAGATAATATAGGATGTATCAGAATTCATAGGGGAATAACCTTAAAAATTGTGGTGAGACGGGCTGGTTCTATTCCCATTAGTCAAAGTGAAGGTTATACATTAGATAAAGTTTATTAGCCTCCCACTCTACCCTCCTACTCCTCCTTTACAGCTATGTAATTTGCCTATCATATTTCTCTCTCCTTTATTGAATCATAGACTTTAGAGTTGGATAGAAACATAGAAATTACCTATTCCTACCCCCTCATTTTAAAGAGGAAGCATTAGGACCTCATGTGTCAGCTAGAGAATCTGTCCAAGTAATTAGTACTAGTGTGCATCTTAACTGTGACTTTTAGGAAACCGTGTTCCCACAGCTTTGGTCTAGCTCATTAGTGATACCAATAGAAACTTCAAGCCAGGTGCAAGTGGAAAGAGAGGGCTGGCTCCAGGGTAGGCTGGGACCTGGAGGAAGGGAATATTTCTTACCAATGGGCCTTTGGTTCTCTCAAATCTTAATTCCCAGGCAACTGTCAACCTTCCTTTTCACTAGGACATGTCCTGCTCCTAGTCCACTTGCCTCTGGTAGCATCCAACTCTGGACAGCTGGGCACAGTTAAATTTATGTGGCAACATTCAGTTATTTTAGAACGTGAGATTTGATTTGAGAATCATGAGGAGATGATTTCACTGAGTTTCCTCTGCCTTTGAATGATGGTGGAAGGTAGTAGACCCCTAGAATCTTAACATCCTTTACATAGCAATGGTCAGTGTTTTGTAAACTGAGTTGCTTTATGAACTAAGCGTGAGTGATTTGGGGATGCTGACTTAACACTGTACACTCCTTAAGGTCAGAGTCTGTTCAGCTTGTTGATTATATCACTTGGCACAGTACCATAATATGTAGTTAGATGATATTTAAGGGCTGCTGATGGTAGTTCCGTCTTTCTTGTAATTTTTGTAACCCTTCTCAAGCTTATTTTAAAATTTCTTTTTTAGTGGACAGAGTTTAGTGGTATTAAGGACCAGCACAAGAGAGGAAACATGTGTAACTGCCTTTTTTCTGATGAGAGCCTGGAGTACAAGCTGTATGAAGCTTTAAAATTCATCATGTTATATCAAGTCATCGAAGTGTACGAACAAGGGAAGAGTGAAAAGGCCATTCCCAGTCTTTATCGCCTCCTGTTTTCCAGGGAAACGTCTTCAGATCCTTTAAGTTTCATGATGAATCACCTGAATTTTATAGGTGATACATGTGGATTACAACAGGTAAATGTCAAAAGACAAGTGTTAGAGGAAGGCCCTGGCAATACTCAAGGGGATGGGTAACATGTAGTTCAATTCAATTCAACAAATATTTATTTTTAAATCAATTTTTTTCAATTGACATGAATATTTTTTCTCTCTTGCATTTCTGTCTACCCATATATAAAGAAAAGAAAAGAAAACATAATTTGTGACAAATATGCCTAGTCCAGCAAAACAAATTTCCACATTGGCCATGTCCAGAAATGTTTATTTAGCTATTGGTATGTGTAAGGCTCTGTTAAAGATCTGTATGATTTTAAGGATTTCATAATAAAGGAAAAAAGATACTATTTCTCATTATCCCATGACAGTTAAATGTTTCCTCAGATCTATAACCATGGGGTACCTCATCTGTGATCCTTCACAATGGAGTTTCTAAAAAATCTCTAATGGTTCTTGTCAAATGAAATATTATATGCCCATAACAGAGGCTGACCAGAAGTTAATTGTTTCCTTTGCAATACTCAAAATAAGCTTGATTTTATTGTGTGCTTTATGTTGTTATTTATTTTTAAATATTAAAATTTTATTGCTTCCCTCTTCCTCCTCACTCCTCTTTGGCTCTTTTTTTTTCCTCTAGGAAGTCTAGAAAAATTTTTCCTATATAAATTGTTTGTAAGTTGACCAAAAAACTAATTGGACAACAGTTCAACTTTTGTGTACATCTTTTGCATTTCTTATTTATCCTTATTCCATACACTTTCCCCCAAAATTGTGATCTCTTCATGAGATATAGAGTTATTCTTGTAATTTTCACTCTTGATTTAAGATGAATTCTGGGTACTTGCTCCTAATTCCTGCCTATTCATAGTCTTATATAGGGGACTATAAACAGATTACTTCATTAAAATGTTTTCCTTCACTGTGGTGGAGGAGCAGAAATTTGTTGATATAGTACATTTGTGACCTTTCTCTAATTTTCCTCCCAGATTGACATGTTGATTCTTGGACACTCTCTTGAAGTCAAAATAAAAGTGTTTAGATTGTCTAAGTTTAATACCAGAGACTTTGAAGTATACTATCCAGAGGAACACCACAGGGAATGGCCTGAGATCTGCCTTCTGACTGAAAATGACCGCCATTACCATATTCCTGTCTTTCAAGTATGAGATGGAATTGGTACTATTGCCTACAATAGGAATGAACATGCTTAAAATAAGCTATTGCATGAAAACCAAAGCTTTTATCTGGCTACTGAAGGAACTGAACCTTTTTTTCCCTTCTGGAGTTACGCTGTGATGGAATAAGACCTATGTTGTTCTTTTGGGTGTGTGTTTTCTTCAAAAGACACTGAGAACTAGGATTTATCTGTTTGTTTTTTACCTAGTTCACAGGAGATTTGGTTGTTCAAAATACCTTTGAATGGCTCAGAATGTTGACCAAAGTGAGCCTGTAGTTGACCTAGAAAAACTGACCTTTTAGAAGTCTGTAACCTGAAAATATTGGAACGTTGTTAACGCTAGCCTCAGTAAAAGAAAAGTCCTACTTGGGAATCTTTCCATTTACTGATTATGAGTTGATGTGGCCTTAGCCATATCAACATTATCATCTTCATCCATCAAGAATCTCCATGGTACTTTGGTTTTCTAGAACCATTTGCTTTACTTTTTAAAAAGAAAAAAAAGAGCATGCAAGTGGGGAAACTACTTTTATGCTGTATTGTATGAATTGTTTTATATTATTTTCAACTTTTGTGGCTAGATCTAATTGGCTTAACATTATGTATGCAAAAATGAATGTTCCTATTAAATATTGCATAGTTTAAAACAAACAGATACAAATACTGTACTGTTTCCGAAATGTCAAGCTGTTATGCATCATATGCATTTTTAATATGGAATTACATGCTCTCTGATGTTTGCTTTTGTATCTAATGTTATTTTTGAATGACAGCATTTTTCCTCTGTCATCTACATCAAATGTCATCAGTGTTATGCTCAAAGAAATGTAAATTTATAAGTTAGAGCTTCTACCAAATATTTGCTACTTTGAAGTCATTCACTTAAGGGGAAGGCATAAGGACTCAATATTCCTTGAATACAGTAAGGAATAGTTACTATGAAATGTAAGGAAAGGGTATGTTAGCAAGTGTTATGGTCCATGGAAATCACACCCATAGTTAAAAGAATCTTAATATAATATTTTCATGAACTAAGACTCATGAGAGAAATCTCATAGGTTATTGTGTACAATTGTAGTTCATTTCCTAGCTTAGCTATAGAAAGTTTGAGTCAAGAGGATTTGTATTCCTTATATTCCATATAATCCAGTTCAACATATGGAATCTATGGGTTTGGATTCTATGTAATATTAACTTTGTAATCTCTAAGGATCCTATATCCCTAAAATTCTGTAATTCTAACTAATAACTTTTAAAATGCTTCCTATATGAAAATAGCAGTTTTGAAGTGTGTACTGGTGTGATGTAACTAGCTGACTTTCTATACCAAACTTATGTTTTTCTACCTTTGGATACTGGCTGAGACAGTGACTCATTGGCTGTTCTCTGGTATGTCTATTTGGCAACACTGCTAATTGCTAGAAAGAAATGGCAGCCCATTCTGTTGAGATTTTTAAACCAGGAATTCAGAATTTTAAAGTTACCTATTGGTTTGGACAGTCCTCACTTTCTTCTATTATTTCAGTGCCTACATACTACTAAAAAGACAAAAACCTTATCACAGGGATCAGTATCTCTCATTCTGAAAGTGGTACCCAAAATGATTTTTAATCATTTAATGAATTGCTTCTGTGCCGACTATGTTTTTTCTCTCTTTCTAAGAAGCCCATCTACTCTGAGTCAAAACACAAGTACTGGACTATATGCAGTCCTGCGGGAGCCTAGCCTCCAATTTTAAGGGGATACTCTCTTTTTTCTGGCTATTTAACCCCCCACCATGGTGCCCTGCAGATAAATTGTAGAAAGCTTAAGTTTAGGCCCCTGTCTAGGGTTTTGCCAAAAGGGGAATTTAAAAGGTATTCAGTGTGTAATGTGAATCAGATATGGGACAGGTATTTATTTTCTACATAACAGTATTATCATCTACTGGGAGGATGATATTTAAAGTTTATCGGAACTTAAAGCAGTTTTCAAGATTGATGATTAACCATTTTACATTTCACATCACCTCTGCCGTGTACAAAAATTTCCCCAGTACAGTCTTGGATCAATATTCTTGTTTGTGATCATATTCTCTAATGCCCAAGTTTTTTCTGACATCAGCCAAATATTCTCTCTGGACCTTATGAGTTATGGAGTTCACCTCCAAACCTGGTTATGTCCACCCCAATGCTGATATTCTATATTTTCGAATACTTGAAAACTGCTTTAAGTTCTGATAAACTTTAAATATCACCCTTCCCGTAGACGATAATACTGTTGTGTAGAAAATAATCAGGGAAAGGAAAAACAAATTGGAAAAGGAAAAGAGGACTGGTATAAACTCTTTTATTTGAGACCATGTTTCACATAGGAGTGGTGAGGGGTTAGAGGGAAACAGCACAACTTATTCTCATCACCCCATCACCGAGAATCTAGAGATAAAGTCCACTGTTTGCTGTATGGGAGACTTGATGCAAAACATATTAAATTGAAAGCTGTCTCTTTTTTTAACTGCCTCAGCACTCAGTCCGCCTGCCATGGTCATGGGGTAAGAAGAGGATCAAGGGACCACTAAGGGTTTATTACATCATACTAAAACACCACATGGCTAGAAGAAGGCCCATAAACCTCCAGCTGGTTGATTAGAATCAGGAAGGGCAACTCTGACCATACTCCATGGAGTGGCTCCCAGAATTGTTGAGTATGTGGCAAAACTGAAACTAAACTCTACCGTCTCTTCTTTTCTTCCCTCTGTACCTATCTTCTTTCCTGGATAGCCAGAATATAAAAAGTAAAAATCCTAGAGGAACATTCTCCTCTGCCAATAGAATCAGTCAGCTAGACTCCCTAACTGGGCACCATTAACTATCACTGTTTTCTGCTTTAATCAACTTACCATTTTAATCATTACTCCTTTTACCATTCATTCACTAGGGAGAACCACTGTGGATGCTACACATCCTCCCAAACCCAGCCCTGGAGTCAAAGAATACATTAAGGCTTATTTGGCACCTTCCATCCTCTGGAAAGGTTGCAGATCCCTGCTCTATTAAAAAACATTTTTCCCTTTGGTATCATAATGTGATATTATTGTCAAACCTTCAGAATCCACATAATATTGGCTACATGTGGCACATCAGTTTGCAACTTTGGACTGGAAACCTGAAAGTCAAATGAGAAGATGAGTGGTGTGTAGGTGCTACACTCAGTGTTAGGAGGACAGATTTCTAATCCCATCTTAAACTTGCCCAGGTAAACCTGGGCACGTCACTTAGCCTCTCTTGGCCTCAGTTTCCTCATCTGTAAAATGTAGGGATTGGACTTGATGCCTTCTAAGATCCCTTCCATCTCTAAGTCTTTGATCTGAATATTTCTGTTCATACTTAGGTTTGGAGAGAAAAGAATCTCAAGATAGAATTGTGGGGAGGGGTGGGGAGGGAAAAGCATCCAAAGGTTTGGAAAGTATGAAAAATCAGGTATTAGCCAAATGACCTTTTATTTAGTTGAATATCTTTGGGAAAGTCAAAACATCAAAAATTAATGTCTTGCCTTTGATCTCTAATTAATAAACCCAGTTAACTTGATTTAGTTAGCTGGGCATGGTTTGCTAACTCTCGTCACTGAATATGAATTAGGGGAAAACGTCAGCCTCCTGTGTGATGGCAATATCTGAATGTCTTTCACATTTGTTTTAAGACTATGTAAAATTTTATACATAAAATATAAAGATCTCTTTCATCTTTAATGCATATTCTTATACATTGTGAGAATTTCTGTGAATATGTATTCAAAAGGTTCTTTCCACAGTGGAACATGTTTAATTGCCTAACTAATGCCTAGATTCATTTTATCATCCACATTCTATTAATGAAACACTCTTATTAATAAGAACATAGCTGCCTTTGGGCTAAAAGAGGCAATATGGAAATACCCAGTATTGTCAAGAGTGAGATGAAAAAAATGGCTGCAGAAATAACATGGAGAGATAACATGTCATTGTTGATATAGTATGGAACTTAGAGTTGGAAAAGCCTGGGTTCACATCTGACTTCTGATTCTGATCAGCAGTGTGACCATGGGCAGGTAAGTCACTTAACCTTTTAGCTTCAGTTTCCTCATCTGTGAAATGGGGATAATAATGCTTTTACCTAGCTTACAGAAGTTGTGAAGTTCAAATGAGATAATGCCTGTAAAATACTTAGGAAACTTTAAAGTACTATGATAAATGTCAGTTATTATTAATAACATTCTACTCCAGTTCCAAAGTCCAGCCAAGGTGGCCTCCTCTGCAATCTGTACATTCACTTGGCTAGTTCAGAGTAAGTCTGTGGTATTCTTGAACCAAATCAGATCCTGAGGTACATGTATCCTGGATAGTGTCAGATCCCTGTGCTTGATTTCTAGGTGCTTTTATGGAGCAGATGCAGGATTCTGCATCCTTTCCTAAGCCAGACCTTTTACCTTTCCACTGTATAGCTAGAGTTGATCTCTAGGATTGAAGGCTGAATGAAGGGCAGGAAAGAATAAAAGCTAGTCTCTTGGGTTCCGTCCTTGTCAGCTTCTCCATCTCGTTTTTGAATAAATTGGCTCATTTGTTCAAACACTGTTATTTTGCTCTTTAACCCTAGAACCTAGTATATTTTAAAGTCTTTAACACATCTCAATTTGACTGAAGCAACACCCATTCAGTGATTAAGGGGCTAGGTAAGAAATGAGGTAGAGAATGGCCTCTTTTACTTAGTCAAAAAAAAAATCATTCTGGAAGGGGAAGACCCTCAGGGTTTCTGGCCAAAACAGAAACAATTGCTATTTATGTTCACTCTGAGCCAGTTAGGGCTCAGACAATAATAGCTTAAAAAGGCCAAGGTTTCCCATTGTATCCAGAGCCATCTCTAGTCATCCTAATCTATGTCTTGCCACTGGACCCACATGGCTCTGGAGGAGAAATTGAGGTTGGTGTCTTTGCACATCACTCCTTCACTTATTTAATTCACTTGTAAGTCATGGCATCATCTTCCTGATGTCATGGTCCTCTTTGAGAACAAAGGACAAACAAGAAGAAGAAGTATATTTTAGAAGAAATTTGTGTTTCCTGGTACTAAGTTGAAGTGATATACTTGCTTAGGGGTACTTTTGTAGCAGGTCAGATAGTATTTTCCTTATATGAGGCTGCTAAGTAATGCAATGGATAGAGCCCTGGATCTGGAATCAGGAAAACCTGAGTTCCAGTACAGCCTCAGTTAGTAATTAGCTGTGTGATGCTGGACAAGTCCCTTAACAACTCTGTCTTCCACGTTTTCCTCTACTATAAAATGAAGATAACAACAATATCTATCTCACAAAGTTGTTGTGAGGATCAAATGAGATAACATTTGTAAGGCACTTGGCCCACAGTGATTAATAAATTCTAAAGGCTGACATCTTTATCACTCTATAGCACCTACCCTTCCTCCATCATCTCCTTTCTTTAATTTTGTTACTAGTCCCACCTATCAGCATTCATACTTTATGTAGACATTTAAAATTTTTTTTTGTTAACATTTTTATTTAATTTTTTTAGTTTTCAACATTCACTTCCACAAGATTTTGAGTTCCAAATTTGAGCCCCATCTTGTCCCTCCCCCCAAACCAAGATGGCATGCATTCTGAATACCCCTTCCCCTAATGTGCCCTTCCTTCTATCTCTTCCCCCATTTCTCTTATCCCCTTTCCTTTCAGTTTTCCTGTAGGGCAGGAGAGATTTCTATAGCCCATTTCCTGTATATCTTATTTCCCAGTTGCATGTGAAAAACAATTTTTTTTAACGTGTGTTTTTAAAACTTTGGGTTCCAAATTTTCTCCCTTCCTCCCTCCCCACCCATCCTCCTTAAGAAGGTAAGCAACTCATTACAGGTTATATATGTGTAGTTATGCAAAACACTTCCATAGTAATCATGTTGTAAAAAACTAAGTATATTTCCCTTAATCCTATCCTGCCCCTCATTTATTTTATCCTCTCTTTTGATCCTGTCCCTCCTTAGAAGTGTTTGCTTCTGATTACCCCCTCCCCCAATATGTAGACATTTTTGTTTGTTTATTTTTGTTTTTCAGTAACTCTGGACAAGAGAACATTCCTGCTCTGGGATGGTAGATTTACAGCATGGACTTGAAGAGTCTGAGTCCAATCCCTCTCCCTCATCTCACAAATAAGAAAATAGGTAGAGAGAGGTCAAGTAATTTGCCACAGTTGCACAGCTGGTGAGCGTCTGAATCAGGATTTGAACAGAGGTCTCCTTGAGTCCAAGCCCAATGCTCTATTCACGGTGCCACTTGTTAAATGTCTCTTTGAGACACAGTTTCATCATTTGTTAATATATATATAACTGCAGTTATTATATGACAAATTATCCTGGAACCAAGACTTGTGACTTGGTCACATATATTTGAGCAAATATTTTGTGTTTCTTGTAGCATTAAATGAGTTTTGTAATGTCTAACCAAGGCTATTCCCTTAATTTTTATAAGTATTTGCTATAAATAAACACCCATCCTAATCTTTATAGCCAAAGTGCTACAAAATCCTTTAAAGTACAGATAATCCTTTATTTACAACAGTGATATGTTCTTGGGAAGCGTGAAACTTAGAAATATTTTTCCATGGAAATAAAAAATATTTATACCTTTCAACAGAGGATCTGTTCAGTGATATAGTATTTGTTCATAATTTACAGGAACTTTTTTGTAATTGCATTACCAAAAAAAATTGCAATATTAGTAATTACATTTTGGTTTCATACTCCTTTGTGCTTAAGGATATCCCTCATTAGGTTGTGTCCCGGAGCTCTAGGTTTACAAGAGTTGGGTTCAGTCTTGGAACCATCTCTCAAAAGTCTCTTTGGCTCATACCCTTGGGACTATCAGCACATATAAACATGGAACATTGAAAAAATGCTTCACTTTACAAGTTTAGAAAGATATATGATGGAAGGTAGTAGACAGATATTAAGTAGTAATGTTAGACTGTTTTAGGGTACTATTTTTAAGTTGAAAAAGTCCTATATAATTTTTATTAAAGCAAGTATGTCAATGAAAATTTCTGAACAAATGCAATTAATTAGAGTAGTCCTTGTCTGTAGGCTTCTCAAGTGTTCCCAGAGATGTACTTCCCAATAATTCACAGATCTGCCAGGTCCTTTGCATGCTTCCCTGACTCGAGAGAAAATTTTAGGAAATAGCTTTCAAATATTTATAGGCCAAGCCAATGGACAGCAGAGAATAACAGAAAGCATAGTAAGGATGCATGCTGCAAAAACAAGGATAGCATAAATTCTTCTGTATATATTCCTTCTTACAAATTCGGGCTTGTGGCCAGAGATAGGGAACTTGGTGACCAAGTGCTCTTAGGGAACAGTGAGGAGAAGAGATGGGCTGGCTACAAGGAAGGATTTCTGCTTTGCATACATGCTTGACTACCTACACTACTACCCCCAACCAGCTGAATCTGAGCCAGCTTCATGAGCAAAGAAGGATCCTTAGCTCAGCAGCAGCCAGAGAGCTCTGCCTTAGGATTAGCTTATCACCTCAGTGCCAGATTTTATAGGCAAATATTCCCCAAAGAATAGCAATGTGGCTTTTAAAGACAAGATGGTAAGATGAGGCGGGACAGGTAGGGCATTTTAAAGGCAAGAGTAGTTAATTAGAATTCTGTTTTTCAGGGATTGGAAAAAGCATGTCATTATCGGCATTTTTGTGATTGTTTAGTCATTTTCAGTCATGTCTGATTCTTTGTGATCTTTTTGGGGTTTTCTTGGTAAAGATACTGGAGTGGTTTGCCATTACCTTCTCCAGCCCATTTAATAGATGAGAAACCTGAGGCAAATAGGGTTATGTGGCTTGCCCAGGGTCACAAAGCTAATGTCTCAGTCCAGATTCCAACTCAGGAAGTCATCTTGACTCCATAGTAAGTCATATTTGTATACTCCAGTGCAATCCCTGGGATTAAAAAAAGGAGGACTTCTTTTTTCTTCTTTCCCAAGTAGCATAATATCTGACTGTTAACTCCATCTTGGTTCCATACTGCTTTGTGCTTAATATATCCCTCATTAGTCTGTGGCCCAGAGCTCCAGGTTTATAAGGAACGGGTTCCATCTTGGAACCGTCTCTCAGAAGTCTCTTTGGCTCATGCCCCCAGACTATCAGAAGTTTCCTCATTATACCCCTATTCTGAGTAACCCCTAAGGACAGCAGAATTTATTTCACATCTAAGTCTCCACAAAAATGGGAGAAGGCCCCCAAGCTCTGATACAAAATACATAGGTCATACTTTATTTAATCTGACAAGAAAAATGTGTTAAAAAAAAAAAAGGACTTGTCCTGGAGCCCATGTGCGATGAAAGCAACTACCCTTCATGGAAGGTCTCACTTCCTCATTAGTCCTCCAAACTTAGAGCTCTATTCGAGGTTTGAGGCTCCCCAACAATACACCAGGTTTGAGGTGATGAAGGCCAGTACCAAGGATGGCATCTGTGTGAGGGGAGAGAAGACGACTTATATGATGTTGTGAAGGTAGAAATGATCAGATTTGACAACAGACAGTGTATGGGGTGGGATCACGCTGAGGTTGTGAGCCTGAGCACTGAGAGTATGAAAGTGCTCTCAATTGCCAAGAGAAGAGGGTTTGGGGGAAAAGAGGAGGAGTTCAAATTTTACTTTGACACTTACTGGGTACTTAATGGGCAAGCAATTTAACTGCTCATCTTCAGTTGCCTCG